GGGCCGGCCAGGGCTGTCAGATGCCAGGGTCCAGGGTGGGCTGCCGTTAGCCAGGCTGGACTCAGCCAGGGGGTCAGGCACTGGGTCCGGAGGGTCGATGCCCTTCCTGGACCTGCCTTCTTTGCGCCTCATCCTGGGAGGGGCTTTCCTCCCAGGCAGGGTCCGCAGAGGCCACACCTCCGGTGTCAGGCCCGTGGACGCCCTTGGCCTGGCTGTCTCCGCTCCGCTAGCCCACCCGTGGCTCCTTCTGTCAGCCACACTCGTCTCTGCCCCTGGCTGGACCGTCCTTCATGGCCCGGCTCACAGCCCGCCTCCACCAGGAGGCCCACCATCCTGCTTCCTGGCCGAGGGCTATTTCACAATTGCACCTCCCACAGCCGGCTCCCAGCTCTTCCCTCTGGCCCAGCTCGCCGCTGTCTGCTCCTTGCCTCGCTCCTCCCTGGACCAGGAACCCAGTGGTTACGAGAGCCCCGCGCTCAGGTGGCCTGAGTTCAGATCTCGACGGGCCCTACGCGGTAGACCGGCAGTGTGGACCACAGTCCTCACCGGTGAGACGGGGGTGAAGGGCGTGGGCCTCGGGGCCACCGGCTCAGCTGAGCCTGTCCCCATACGTGGCACGTGGTGTTTAGGGACGGTCCCTTCGACGGTGAGGACGAAGGCTGTGCTTAGCTTGTCCGCAGCTCTCAGCGCCCCGCAGGCGTTCACAAAGGCTAGCCGTGGGGGGCGGGGTCAAGGGGACCACGGGCAGGCCGGCCGCAGGGGGGCCCTAGAGCTGCCGGGGAGGGGGGGCAGCAAAGTGCCTGAGGGGCCGGGGCCGGTCGGACTCACCTTGTGGTTGTTGCCTTCGTCGAAATAGTATTCTCGGGACGGCATGCCCAAGGTGGGCTGGTCTATCTGGAGACACAGAGGGTGTGACCCTGGGCAACGAGCCGGGGTCCCCACAGCCTGGCTGGGGAGGACAGCAGCTCTCTCGACTCCCCCCGAACTGCGCCCGGCGGGAACGTGGGCTCCACCGGGAAGGGGGATGCGACCCGGTGCTGCTCTGCGAGTGACGGCTGGAGGGCCCCGGGGGACGCGCTGCAGGGTCCGCTGACCAGGCGACCCAAGGGGTGCGGGCCACGTGCAGGGCCTCACGGCGCCCTCGCCCTCCCTGCGTGGCGCGGGCTCGCTGTGGCCGGCAGTGGCTTTCTGAGGTCAGTTTTCCTGCCCTGGAGCCCGAGGCCCGGACAGACGGCACGCGGGCGGCTCCTCTGACTGGGACCCGGTCCCCCGGCAGCCGGTGCCCTGGGCAGGACGTGGACAAGGGCAGGGCCCTGGGAATGCCCCCGGGGCTCACCCGCCCCCTGGCCACGGCCCTGCGGGCGCCCCCAGCCAGGCACCAGGGACCCGGCCTACCCCGGCCCCCCGGCGCGGCTCGTACGTAGATGATGTGCCGGCTGGAGTTCTGGTCGTCGTTCCAGATGAACAGGTCGATGAGGACGCGCCTGTTGAACTGCGCGTTCATCAGGGCCAGCTGCTGCTCCAGTTCCCACTTGGGGCCTGGGGGGTCAGCGCCTCACGCTGGAGACCGGCTGCGCTCTCGGGGGTCCCAGGCCCTCGTCGGACAGTGGACCCCAGCCCCCTAAGCCCCAGAGCTCGGGGGACATCGTGGTGGCAAGCACACCTGTGGGCCCCGGCGCTGAGGACCCGCTGCGGGACGACAGGGCCAGGGATGGCCGGGCACCTGGTGCCCCCGTGCCCCGCCCCCACGCCCCGGGGTCTGGGAGGTGAGTCCCCCCCCCCCAGGGGCCTGGAAGGGTCGCCCTCTGCAGGGCTGGGGAGCCCACTGGCAGCGGGTGTGAACCGCCAGCCTGAGCCCGGGAGGGCTCGGCTCCAGGGAGCCCCGGGCGGTGACACCTGTGTGCCGAGCGAGGCTGCCGCAGGCCCCGGCCTTACCTACTCTCTCGTTCCACTTGTCCATGGCCACCGGCCAGCCGCCCATCAGATCCAAGATGTTCAGCAGGGGCTGTGAGTCTCGTTTTTCTATCACGCCTGCGAGGGAAGGAGGGTCACTCGCCTCCCCGCCACCCACCTTCACACAGGCCCGTGGGGACGCTGCACGCCCGGCACAAAGCCAGGCCCCCGTCACACGGGGACGGGGACGGGGAAGGGCCCGGGAGGAGCAGAGACGGACGCAGGTGTGAGGGGCCCCGGGGGGTGACCGAAGCAGACGCGCCGGCAGGACACGGGGCGTGGGAGGGGGACAGGCGACCGGCTGGTGGGGGAGCCAGGCCGAGGGAGGCCCTGCGGCCCGGGGGTGCTGCACGGGTGGGGGGCGCCAGCACCGTGGCCGGCCGAACACTCTGAAATGGACGTGGACAACTTGTGCAGGGCAGCGGAGGTCCGGCAGGGAGCTCGGGAACTGGGGTCACACGTAAGGTGAAGGTGAGGGTCCAGTGGCAGGGCGCCAGGTCACTCGGTTTGGCGGAGACTCACAGGGAGGCAGGGGCACGGGGGAGCCTCATGGTGGAAAGAGGGAAGGTTCCGGGCGAGCCCAGATGGGGGCCGGGGTTTCGGGAGGCACGAGCCAGAAGCTGGCGGCTTCCTCTGGCTGCTCCGGAGTCGGATGCGGGGACAGAACAACGAGCCCTCGGTACTAAGCAGGGGGGGGTGCTCCCCACAGAGCAGCCGACACCCCAAGCTGGGCTTGCAGACCCCCAGGCAGGGACACGAGGGGAGACGGGCCAGAGGGGCGCGGGGTGTGGGGGAGCCATTCCTAGGAGCCGGAGCACAGGGCAGTCCCGTAGCAGCACCCGGGTACACGTGTGGACACTCGCGGACACACAGGGGCGGACACACACACAGACACACACACGTGTGCGCCTTCCCTGGGACTTCCAGGTGTGCCCCTCAGCAGTGTCCTTCTGCCCGGACGGTGTGGCCCGGTCTGGGGTCAGGGTGTAAACAGGATCACGGGCAGCTGGCAGTAAGTCCCTGCCCCCGGGGGAGCCTGGGACCAGCGGCCAGGTGGGGGCACAGCCCCCGTGGCCGTGAGTCCTGAGTGGCGTCCAGCTGCCACACACTGCTGCGGGGACTGTGGGGTCCCGGACCCCCCACTCACTCTCGTTCATGCAGGAGCGGTACAGCATCTTGGCTTTCTGCACAGCCGGCCTGTCCTTGGCGGTGGAATTCTCCAGCACTCCTGTGGGCAGAGGAGGGGGCTGGACAGAGGCCTGAGGCGGCCGCCGGGAGAGCCAGGTCAAAGGTCCTGGTGTCACCCGTCCCTCTTTAGTGAGAGGAGGCCCCTCTGCCCCTGCGGGGCCTTTATTCCAGGGGGTTTCTTCTCTGCGGGCCCCACGGCCACCCTCGAGTGGGGCAGACGTACGGCCTTGCCCAGCTCCACCCCCAAGGTCACGGCGGCTCTCACCTTTGAGGATGATCTCCAGCTCGTCTCGAAGGACGTCAAAGACGCTGTACCGGGAGTTGGTCTCGGGGATCACGTGATGCTGCAGCCAGCCTCCGCACGCGTACTGGTAGAAGTCGTCACACGGTTCCCCGGACGGGTCCATGTTCCGGAGGATCCTGGCGGCTGCTCGGCCACAGGGGTGGTGGGGGGAGAGGGGGGACCCAGTCGCGGGTGGCCGCGGACCGTTCGACATTCCATCATGGCTGTGTGCCCTCGGCAGCGTGAGTCACTCTCTCTGAGCCTCAGCGAGGTCGGAAGCAGGAATTCAAGTTCTAGGGCTATGACTTATTAGCCACATGACCTGGGATCCCGTGACCTCTGCCAGGACACCCACGGTCCGGCGCTGGGGCAACGGCCAGGACTGCCCGGCTCCCAGGAGGCGGTCTGCTGCCCCTGGAGCCCCCTCACTCGTCAGAGTGTCTGCAGCGGGGGTGGGGGTGGGGGTGCTCTGGGCCGCCACAGGGAGTCTGTGTGCTGTTAGAGGAGACGGTGTCACCCCAGCACCAGAATGTGCCGCGTCACTGGTCGGGGGTCCCGCCGGCGGCTCTGCAGTGATTCCCACTTGGAACCAGCCCGGACCCTCCTCCTCCTCTGTCCCACCTGGTACCTCAGGGAGTAACTCACCACGACTGTCCACTAGATCCCAGCTGCAGCAGGAAAATCTCAGGTCTGAGATTTTTCCTGATGTTTCTTCAGACCTTTCTCACTGTTTTCAGTCTGCGAATGGCAGCATATGATCCCCAATTTTTAGACAAAGTCGTGGGAGGAAGCTTGTATGTTCATGTGACCTTTCTCTCTGTACCTGCAGGAAAGAGCCCCTGTCCCCGAACTACCTTCCTCCCCATCAGGGCCTTAGGCGAGGGACCTCTGGGGCACAGGGCTGGGAAGAGGGAGCAGACCCGCCTCTCACCATCAGAGACCAGCTCTGCATGGGCTCAGGGACTGCCCACCGGCCCCCATGCCCTGTCTGGAGGTGGCTCCCCTTGGCCTTGGGAGGCCCTGCGCCCCGGGGCAGGGCTCTGGGAGGTGTGGGGAAGGGGCTTACCTGCTATGACGCAGCCAGGGGTGGTGCAGATTTCACCCCATCAAACCTGGCCTGCTGGATGGCTGTGGGGCAAGACGGCATGCGAGCGAAAGTGGGAGGCAGAGTGGATAAGGCGCTGGGGCACAGGTGAGGTGCGTCTGCTGGGGCGGGCAGGGCCAGGCTCAAACCGCCCCCAGCCCCCGGGGGCAGTCCAACCTGGGGTCCTCCCCAGGTGGCCCAGGGCTAGGGCTTACGTGAGGGCGAGCCCCACGCCGGCTTGAACGCTTCCGTAACCCGGGAGCCTCTTCCACGGACGCACCCTCTGCCTCCACTGACCCCCAGGGCCCCCGGGTCCCCAGGACTGAAGCTGGTGGTTCTGCCTTCCTGCCTCTCTGCCAGCCGGCTCTCGCCCCTGTCAGGGTCACCTCCTCCAGGCAGGGTGCCCGTGCTGCTGGTCTCTGCACACTGCTGCCCCCCTGACCCCCCTGCCGGGCCCCAGCTGGTTGTATAGGTGTGCACCTGCCTGGTCTGAGGGACGGCGCCCCAAGCCGGGGAGCAGGGAACACCCTGCATGTAGCACGTGCTGTGTCCCTGCCGCTGCCCTGGCTTTCCGCGGGACTCTGGGGGCCCTGGGCGGGGCCCCGCGCCCCTGCTGCACCCCACCCACCGGGGGCCCCGTCTCCAGCCCACCTGCTTGGGCCATGTTTTGGAAGGGAAGGCAAAGCTACCTCGGGGTTTTCGTTTTACAAGGGTCTTCTCGTCCTCTGAGAAGCACAGCGGCTGCTTCCCTGGGGAGAAACACAGCACTCAGCCCCCTGCCTCCCCCTGCTGGGGCCCCTCGGGGCTTGCTGGGGGCAGCCTTGCCATTTCCCTGCAGTGCTGGGGTCCAGGGCTCTCCGGGGGGCTGCCTGCCTCCCCACAGCCAGGCCGGGTCACCAGGGAGCCCAGCGGAACTTACCTCGGAGGGGAGGGGGAAGGCGAGGGGGCTCCCCTGGCTTGCCCACCCCCACTCTCCAGACCCACCCCCATCTGCCAGGGTCCAGAGGGCTCCTGAGTCGGAAGTCCGCATTCTTTCCCCTCAGGGAAGTCTCCTTTGACCTTCCTCTTCGATCTCAAGGTCATGGGCCGCACCCACGCAAGGTGGGCAGCTCCTGGGGTCCAACCGAGGCAGGAACAATAGGTTTGTGTAGGGGGACGGGAGGCCACTTTCACTGTCTGACTCACTGGCCGCCTTCCCTGCATCCATCCGCTGCACAGGGCAGGGGCATCACCTGGTCAGCATGGGGAGCTTCCGGGAGGGTGGGGACCCTGCCCAGAAGGGGGTGGGGCAGGGGCGAGGTGCAGGGAGAAGGCCTGCTGGGCCTGGCCCCCTACAGACCTGGCTTGTGGCCGCGTGTCCCCACTACGGAGGCGCACGGAGACCTGGCGGGAAAGAAGGACCTCACGCAGGTCAGAGGCCGCAGAGGGTGCAGAAAGCTCCCGGAGTGTTGGGTGCTCCCTGGGGCCCTGGCCATGGGAAGACCCGCTTATGAAGTGTGGGGTTGGGGGCGTTTCTGCCCCCACCTGTGGCTGCTGCTCTTTGTGCCCACCGTTTGTGCACCCATGAGTCCAACCTTTGCCGACTGTGACAAGCCTGCCCCGGTGCCGGGCCCTGAGCGTTCAGATACGAGTCCGGCACGGGCCCTGCCTCAGGGAGCCCCGGCCTGTGGGGACAGGACAGCGATGCCGATCAGAAGCAAAGATGCAGTGCCGAGAGGGCACGAAGGCATGGCTGCCCCAGGGGGTCTGTCAGGGTCGTTAACCCAGACCCTTGGGACAAGAGCCGGACCTCGGACCCCAAAGGGCCACGCCCTCAGTGACACTCAGTGACAGTGGACAAGGCCATCTGAGTTCTGGCCAAAGACATGACGAGGAGGAGAAGGGATTTTTGCTTCTGATGAGGATGCGGAAAGTTGAAAGCGACTGTGGTTCCCTCCCTGGCCGGGAGAAGGAGTCTCGGGAGTCTGTAAACACCCACCCGAGAGCTGCGGACAGGAAACCCGCAGAACCAAATTCCAGAAAGGCATGTGCCCTCCCTGGACAACAGGGACCTATGACCGCCTTGGGAGCCACGGCGCGAGGAAGGTGGTCTTGCACAAAGGGGGCTTCGGGCTGGAGGAGCCAGTAAGGCCACCAGCATTGGGGCTGGTGTAAGGGACGGGGTCCCACACCGCTCCCCCACGGGCCAGGTCCTTGTTCCGGGGCCTCCCCGAGGGCATGGGCGGGGCAGGAAAGCGGCGAGAAATCCCCGTGCGTGAAGATACAGGCCAACGTGGCCCATCATCGAGAAAAACCCAACAGATTCCAAAGAAGTGGACCCAGGGAACAGCTGTCAGAGTTAGCGGACAGAGTCTTCAACGATTAGGATCATGAGATTAAAGGATCTGGTACAAAAGACGGGAAACGTGTAGACAGATACGTGGTGCGCATCGCCAAATACACGGACACGGTCGGAAAGAACCGAAGCGAAGAATCTGTTTTGCGGGTTTCACGACAAGCTGAGTCTGCACTGGAAGGAATCTGTGTCAACGGAAGTTATCCAGGCCAACGCACAGGGGAGAGACACAAAACACACAGAACAGAGCAGAGGAGAGCCCGCAGAAACCCCGGTGGGGCAGCCACCTCGAAAGCCGGCTTGGCAACTTCTTACAGAGCCAAACGCGGCCTTACAAGGCGACCCCGCAATTCCACTCCTGCGTGTTTCCCCAGGTGGTTGGAAAACCCACGTCCACACAGAAGCCGGACTGTGAATTTTATAGCAGGTGCGGTGGGTGTTTTTGTTTGTGGTTCTGCAACCATGGTGTCCTGCCACAGAGCCACGAAGAAATAAACCGTATTACAGCCACATGGTGGAATTATTATGAAGCAATGAAAAGAAATAAGCGAGGGGCGCCTGGGTGGCTCAGTCGGTGAAGCGTCCCACTTCGGCTCAGGTCACGATCTCGTGGTTCGTGGGGGTGGAGCCCCGTGTCGGGCTCTGTGCCGACAGCTCGGAGCCTGGAGCTGCGTCGGATTCTGTGTCTCCCTCTCTCTCTGCCCCTCCCTAGCTTGTGCTTTGTCTCTCTCTCTCTCAAAAATAAACCAAAAAAGGCAAAAGGAGCTGACCGTCGACGCGGCGGTGTAGTCGGTGAAATTGGTCCCCACGGGAATGCAGGTTGGCAGTTCTGAGACCACGATTGGGATTAAGTAAGCAGGGGAGGGCGGGAGTCCAGACTCCTCACCGCTGCAGGAGGAGGGCAGGTCGGCAAGGGCAGGGGGCTGGAAGGAAGCTCGTATTTAGCCCAACACAGACACAGACTATGCACACACGGGGCTGAGCACGCCCTCGGCTGAGAGCGGCCGGAAGCAATGACCCGCCAGCAATGCTCACATCTAGGAACCCGAGCGTGGCTTCTGACACCGTCTCCCCGTGAAGGGAGCCAGGGGTCCTTGGAGAAACGCTGGGTTCTCTAACGGGGGCAGAAAACATACAAGACGGGCCTGGAACATCTCACAAGGCTAGAAAGGAAGGAAGTGCTCCCCTCCCCTCCAGAGTCCCAAAGCCACAGTGACGGGGGATTGTCAGAGGAGCACCAAAGCCACGACAGAGCCCCCAAGGTCAAAGCTGGGGCGATTTGAACACAATAAACTAGTTCTGGACCCTAGTCCAAAGTATAAAATTCACATCCACGAGTCCATGCCGACATAAATACATCACCGAGTAAATACATAGATGGGGGAAATAGAAAAACCCCCCCATAAAGAAGAACTCCAAATCGTTGACGGAGGTGCTCTGCCTGGAGAGATGTGGATTCCAACTCCCCCCGCCCCTTGGGTGTGAGCTGTCCACGGTGGCTTCCTTTCCAAGGGGACAGTATGGAAAGCGAGGGGAAAGGTAACTTTATGGTGGAGAAAGCCGACGGACGTTATATGCCGGAGCCACGTGGTCACGGTCAACGACAGTGCCAAGTCATAAGTACGTACCCTTCGTTTACGGGCCTTCCTCCCCAAAACACATCCAACCATGAGAAAAACATGTGACAAGTCCCGCCTGAGAGACGTTCTACAAAATATGGGGCCAGGACACCTCAAAACTGTCCAGATCATAAAAACAAGGGAAGTCTGAGAAACCATCACAGCCGAGAGTCACCTACAGAGATTTGGTGAATAATGCTCCGTGGCATCCCGTAGGATCCTGGGACAGAACAGGACATGAGGGAGGAACAGAGGAAATCTGGAGAAAGTGTAGACCTACTTAACAGTCATTGGCAAATGGGGCGCCTGGGTGGCTCCGTCGGTTAAGCGTCCGACTTCGGCTCACGTCATGATCTCGCGGCTCGTGAGTTCGAGCCCCGCATCTGTGCTGAGAGCACAGAGCCTGTTCCAGATCCTCCGTCCTCCTCCTGCCTCTCTCTCTGCCCCTCCCCCACCCTCTCGCCCTCACAAAAGAAACATTAAAAAAAATAATACAGGTTGGCCTTGATTTGAATGATTTATATTCCCTCTCTCTGTCTGTCACCACGTCCTGTGTCTCTCTCTCTCTGGGAAAAAAGGCCACAGAAATCTCAGAGGGTGGAAAACAACCTTCCTCCCTGGAGAATGAGCACGGGCTGGTCGTCAGGCAGGTGCGCGTACGAGCTTGACCGTGTGGCCAAGGAAACCTCAAGCTGAGACGTGCGTTTTAAGCAGGTGGCCTCCCCAGGTGCCTGATGGAAACAAACAACAAGCCTTCTCTGGAGGGAAACTTCTCGGCCCAAGAGACACAGGGTCCCCACAGGTAAAGCCAGTGCGAGCACGGATTCACCCTAACACGGCGAGAAGCTTCCACGGGTGTGACCAGCACATGGCAGAACCGTGAACCCCAAGGATTTTGTATTCTGGGACTCTCCGATCCCAAATGTCTGGGGCATCACGGGCCCCCAATCTCGACTCCTCTCTGCCCCCATGCTGTTGCCGGAGGACGTTTTCTCCCTCTCGTCTGTGGGCTGGCCCCGTGGCTTGCTTGGGCCAACAGAATGTGGTGGAAAGGATGCCTACTCCGGTCCTGAGCCCAGGCCCTAGGGGGCCTGGGGGCTTCAAGCCGTCCTCCTCCACTCTGCCCAGGCCCGCCTGCTGGTCCTCGTAGGGGGTGCGAGGACCCCCTGGAGGGGGGGCTGAACAGAGTCCAGCCTGGGTGGGCCGACTTGGCCGTGGCTGTGCGCCTGTGTGCGCGTCCCAACAGACGAACGTTACTTTAACCCCTGAGCACCAGGGCAGTTTGTGAGGAAGCAATAACCCGGCTGATGCAGAAACGAATCCGAGTATGTTTGGAGAAGTAAAAGAAAACACTAAAAACAAGGGCAAGAAACATTTAAAAAGAATCAGTGAGTGAAAGAATAAATTGTAAATTCTAGACTCACGAAAGAACGTGGTTGCCAAGATCACATTTCTGGATTTTTCCCTCCGGGCTGCACTGTTTATTTTGCTAATTGAAACCTAAGTGACAACATGTCACAAATTCCGGGGTTCCATGGAATCTTTACTGCACTGCAGGTACAGGCATATTCAGATATATTTTTGGAGAATCAACATTCTGCAAAATGCAGCCAACATTTTAATTCACACCCGAGGGAAGGCAGCGTCCTAAAGGGTATGTATTCCGAGTTATTGCAGGGTATTTGGGGGAGAATTTCTGCAGATCTAACACAGGTGAAGAGAGGGTTAGTGAGTTGGAATATAGCCCAAAAGAATCTACCCAGGAGGCAGGACAAAGTCAGAGACGGAACCTTCC